CCAGACAGGAAAGTCCCTGGAGTCCGATCCATCACATTTAAGACAGTTAGTTTGGACAACGAGAGTACACAACATTCCATAAATGTTTTCCTCTTATCATTGCTGCGAAGCAGCCAATTCATATTCTTGACAGCAATTTGACCTCTGAAAGGTCATTGTTTGTCAAAAAACAAGGGCCTAAGACGACTGAAAAGCGGAGTTTCCTTCTTTCGTTCTGCCGGGTAAAATCAATTACTTTAGGCGACGTTCGTAGATTAACCTACACGTACCAACGTCCGCATGTGGCGACGCTCGATTATTATTATTCAGCGCGTTTTTACTATATTTCTAGGTTTCCAGCTATTTCTAAGTTTAATCGGCCCATGTCTCAGCCACAATATTTTAAGGCCAATATTATTTACGAACCCAGTTAAACTTATTTACTAGCCTATTTCAGCGTGTTAATTATTACATTTAGGCGACGCTTGTTGTAGACTGGCATACGTGGTACCAACGTTCGTTTTTACTATGTTTCTACGTCAGCTCGTCAGTGTTCTAATATAGACAATGGGTCGTGTCTCAAATTATTTGTTATATTTTTATTATTCATTATTTTCGCTTGACTCGCATAAATAATTTTGTTCGAAGAACATTTATATGCAGTTGTACTTCGCAGCACTTTACTTGCAATTTGCAATTTCTAGTACAGTTTACTAGTTGTCTTTTCAAGAGTAGGGGGTATTGTCTCTCATTAGTATGGCTTTAATATTTGTCAAAATAGAAAACTATGAAATAGGGCACAACAAATGATCCAGATTAGCTTGGGTACGGACGCACAAAACAAACAGATGTCTGGAAAGTCACGTTTGCCTGTTTACCAAAAAACTGCGTAACATACTAATAACGTACATACTAATACACACGACCAGGATTGTAAAAGTTCCTATGCTTACAAGCATAGAAACCAAAAAGTCACAAAGCCCCTGGTTTAGATAGCCTAACCCCAAATATTATTAAACAAATGCCAATAAGTTCTTTGGACTGTATTGTTTTTAATTTTTAATAAAATGTTAAACTTAAGTCAATTTCAAAAACAGTGGTCCTATGAAATTTTAGTGCACATACATAAAGAAAATGATTTAAATGACCCGAAAAACTACCGACCCGAAAAACTACCGACCCATCACGCTTCTGTCAATAATTAGCAACACTTTTGAATAATAGAAAGTAGAATAAGAAAGTGGGTTGAAAGAAAAGAAATTATATCGGAAGAGCAAGCCGGGTTTCTGAAAAATTACAGCATAACTGACAACTCTTTAGTCCTCGACACATTAGTAAAAAAGTTTTTTTCAAAATAAGGAAGGAAAATTGTATAGTGCGTTTGTAGATTTCAAACAAGCATTTGATTCCATAGGTAGGGTAACTTTTTTTAAAAAATTAAATGATATGAAAATGCCGATAAAAATCATTAAACTTTTAAAGTCTATGTACACAGACACAAAAATCAAAATAAAAACTAAGCATGGTTTAACAAATGACATTGAATGTGTACGAGGTTTGTAACAAGGCAGGCTGTTATCATTTTTCTAAATGATTTCAAAGACGCTCTATCAAAAAACGATCTACTTTTTTGTTCAATAAATAATCAAACCATTTCACGTATATTATATGCCGGAGATTCGATTTTATTTTCTTTTACCAAAATTGGGTTACAAAAACAATTAAATTGTCTGCAAACATATTGTATTACAAATAAATTAGAAATTAATAAATCAAAAACAAAGATTATGGTATTTTGAAAATTGGCAGTGATGGGTACATATGAAAAATTAACTGTAGATGGGGTAGTTAAGTGGTTAGAGAATATAAATATTTCGGTTTTCATTTTAATAACAGGGGTACATGGAAAGTTGTAGGAGAGCGCAAAGCAGAGAAGGGAGAAATAGCCATGTTTAGTCTCAGAACATTGGATTTACTTCTGCGGAAATACAATTAAAACTAAAACTTTTTGACAGCCAAGTAATGCCTATAACTTCAATTTTATAGAAAACGTTTATTTAAGACATTGTAAATTTGTACTAAATGTCCAGCGGTCCGCTCCAAATGAGGGAGTAAGAAATGAATTGGGAAGGTTCCCCATTGAACTTTATCACATTATTAAAAAGTTACTGGATGAAAATTAATACGTTAGAAAATTCTAGGTTACCAAAAGTATGCTATCAAAGGCAAAGATTGTGGGCTGAAAACGGAACCGACTGTTGGGCATTTGGAATAAAATCGATTTTAAATATGTTTAGATTTGGGTACATGTGAGACTCGCCTGTAAATGAGAATTTCTTAGCAATTTTTTCAGAGAGAGTTCGGGACATTGCACTGCAAACAGGAAATGAAAATATAAAAGATAACATAAGATTAACATTTTATAGCAAACTAAACATAGCCTACCAAATTCCCTTAAATATATTTTTACTTTACATTTTTAAACTAATAACAATTTCAAGATTTCTTTTGTCAAACCATCGTTTATTAATAGAAAGAGGTCGTCATATGAATATTACTAGAGAAAATAGAATATGATTTTTTACGATAATTGTGTTATAGAAGACAAAACCCATTTCCTGTTTGTGTGTCTTTTTCATAAAGGCCTGAGAAAGCAATACATTCCCGACTTAAACTTATTTTCACTCAGTGATATTTTTGTAAGTTAAATTTTCAAAAAAAGTACGTCGTCTATCTATTTATTTAAAGAAAGCATTTAAAAAAAGAATATTTTGTATGTCCGAATATGGTATAACATATGATTTGTAAAATGGGCCAGAGGCCATTATTCACGAAATAAAGAAATATATCGAGAGGTCGCAGGTTCGAATCCCGTCGGATTCACTTTGTTACATAATTCTTCATTTATTTATAGGACTACATTCGTTGAGAGCTATACTACACGATGTATTCTTATGTCCTTTATTCAAACGCTGTATTTACCTGTCTTTGATAATTCATATGTAATTTAACAGAGTTAACTACAAATGGCTGGTATACACGACGAAGTCGGACATCCAGGAAGCTGTCTCTTATACACATCTAGATGTGTATAAGAGACAGGTGTATTCACACACGTAGCAACACTGTCATTCTATCACATGTTGTTATCATCTGAGAAAACTAATCAATAGTTTTTCCTTTAAATCCATTTGTACAGGTATGTCATATACCTTTATCCAATGTTTTACATCTTAAGACACCATTTGTCATATTTTTATGTTTTAACTTGTATTAATCATGCTTTATTTTAAAGAAATAATAGTTTATTTTTAATTGAATAGCCCAGTGCTTTGTTTTAAGTGCCAACAGGCCAAGATTTATTGTAGATGATTAGTTTACCATGCAAGGTCACAATGACCCTGTTTATGGGTGCTGTCTCTGGAATGCTGGACTATAGCTAGAGTACAGTAACCACAGATTTTATATTTAGATTTAACCTTACCTCCATGATTTAACTTAGTCCATTTAATCATGATTTCTTTATGGTCGTTTAATGTATTTTAACATGAATAATGACAATATAATGGCAATAATGTTACTGTCATGTGAATATATAATCGGTGCTTCACAGTGATGTTTTATGGTTTTATACTGATATGATTAGGAGTAAATAGGAAGTTTATATTTCTTTTGATACTAAATTGTTAACTTGTTTGTATTCACATACAATTAAAAACCATGGAATTAGTTAATTGATTAAAGGAACCCAATCTCAGGCGTTATATATCGTGGTATAAACGGAGGGTTAGCTTTCTGCTGTATGATTATGCCTGTTTGTTTAGTGAAGCATTCGCTGACTTTAAAGCTATTATTTTGTGTTCTTTAACACTTGATGTAGTATGAACTTAATGTTTATAAAAAGCTTTAATACATTCGTTATTATTATTATTATTTTCGATGTTAAATATTGTAGAACATGTTTCTTATTAGAATTTAGATATAGTTCATAGTTACCTTGACGTTTAATAGTACAGTTAATGTTGAAACTTTTACAAGCATTATCTTGACAAATGATTACCAACTGTCAGAACAGAGGGTTATTGTATTGTAGTGTACTTGCGTTGCACTAAGATAAGCGATTAATTAGTCTGTATTTTTAAGCTTTATGCACGATAGGCTTATTATTATTTAATACAGTTGATCATTGGTTTAGAACATATCGCAAGATACCCTGTATTAACTATTCAAGTGCTCAATACGTTTTAGTATTTTAACATTAACGTCTTTTTAACGTGTCCGATTTATCATATTTGATACTTTAATTCTGTTGCTTTAATAACTTGTTTTGATTCGATTATGATATGTTTAAACGTGTCATCATATTGAGAACACTGTCATTCTATCACATGTTGTTGCCAAGTCATAATCTTCATTATCATCTGAGAAAACTAATCAATAGTTTTCCCTTTAAATCCATTTATACAGATACACGAATTATAGTTTGCTATCAAAGTTTTACAAGTCAAGCGAAGTCTGTATTATTTTAGTGTGCAACAACGCGAATAAACGCCCCCACGGTAGATCGTATCCATCAACTACAGAATAACCGTAACATAATTTTGGCGCCCAATTTTCACCCACAAGCTACACGGAATCAAAATGGCCGAACACCAGTATCCTTGTGATCATGCTTTGGACTATTCAATGAACTCTACCGGAACTTACACCATTATTAATCATTTAAGACAGCAAATACAGCCTCATGATCACGATACGAACTACACTTCGCACGTCAATATGGGAGACTTAACTATATCAGAGTCAAATACACCTAAAGACCGTCCTGCTGTACAACAGCAAACGAGCCGACCAAAAAGATATCTGCCACAAATACATCGTATAAAGTCACTCGAAATGTAGTAAGCAATCATGAGACCAGACCACCACATGTCAGCCGTCTTAAAAGAAATGCAGACCGATTCGCAGTTACTCCAAGGCCAGAACCAGTAAGAACACCTTACACGGCACAACCAATTCCTATGCAAGAGTCGTCTCCAGTAATCGTCTATCCTGCGTCGTTCCCATCTAATACAGATAGGCGGCCGGTAGTTTTACAGCAAACAATATCTAAGCCACCAACATTTTCTGGAGAAAGCCCCGTAAAACCAGGTGATGCTACGTACGACGAATGGCGGTATGAAGTTCGTATGTTAATGGCTGAAGATAATAGCTATCCACCATCATATGTCCGAAAGTCACTGCGAGGAGAAGCTAGGCGTCTCACCATGAGATGCCAGAGTTTAAAAGAAGTTCTAAAGAAATTAGACACTTTCTATTCATCGGTTGATGATGGCGTTGTACTCTTGCAAACATTTTACAGTTGTAGGCAAAATAAAGATGAAAATGCACGATCGTTTTTTTACCATCTGGAAGACTTGCTCCACCAAGCAAGAGACAAGGGCGAAATTGGTGACCAGTCTGATGACCGATTACGTGACGTGTTCTGGAAAGGATTACGAGATGCCAATATCAAAGCCTCTCTTCACCATCATTACGAGAGTAAGATTGCGCCAGAGCGTCTTTTGCGACTAGTAAGGGAGCAGGAAGACCATTCCGAAGTTCCACCTAAACAACGGAATGTGACTGTACACCAACAAGCCACCCTTCCAACACCCAGTCAGACTACACCTGCTTCACCAACACCAAAACCCAGCCAGCCCAAAACAAAAGAGAATGACGAGTGGATATGTCACAGGTGTAGTCTTCCCGGACACATTGGTAAGGGGTGTAAAAACTTTCACCTCTGGGATGGGAACAAGGCAGTTGCCTCTGGGGCACTCAGCTCACAGCATTTAAACGGGAGAAGACAATTTGCCAGTCTCACACATTTTGCTTTCCCATTGTTGAGTCTACAAGTACATCGTCAGATGCCATTCCGGAAACACTACTAAATCCAGTGCATTGGCCTGGCTCGGAGACATTCCCGAAAGTAGCAATGGAAGAGTGGCGTCGTTTACAGGAAGAAGATCCCATTATCAGTGCCATAATAAAGTTGAAATTGTTGGGACAGCGACCATCTAACAAAGACAGGAAGCAGATGGCACCTGAAGTGGTGATGCTATTGCGGGAATGGGACCGACTACAAAAATCAAGGAGAAAACTCTTCATCGTGTCAGGCAACAAGATGGTGAAACAAATTACCAGTTAGTAGTTCCGGAAAAATATCGAGAACAGGCAATGGCTGGTATACACGACGAAGTCGGACATCCAGGAAGAGACAGGACTCTTGAACTTGCCAGATGTCGATTTTATTGGCCCAATATGGCATCTGATGTAGCCGACAGAGTAAAAAGGTGTGAGCGATGTACTCGTCGCAAAGTACCGCCAGAGGCCCACCGGGTAGCACCTTTGGTTTCGATTGTCAGCCACGAACCAATGGAACTTGTATGCATCGACTACTTGACGCTTGAACCATCTGCCGGAGGGATCGAGAATGTATTCGTAATTACCGACCATTTCTCAAAGTATGCAGTTACTGTTCCCACTCGAAATCAGACAGCTAAAACGACAGCAAAAGCATTATTCGATAATTTCTTTATCCACTACGGTATTCCTACTCGTCTGCATTCAGACCAAGGGCGAAACTTCGAGAGTGCCGTTATCTTAGAACTGTGTAAGCTGTTATCCATCACAAAAAGTCGTACCACACCCTACCATCCAGCAGGGAACGGATTGTGCGAGCGATACAACAGAACTTTACTGGATATGCTTGGAACACTTCCTGTGGAAAAGAAAGCGCATTGGAAAGATTTTGTTGGCCCACTAACGCATGCATACAACTGCACGAAACAGAGTTCAACAGGTTATTCACCGTACCTTTTAATGTTTGGACGCAACCCAAGATTGCCAGTTGACGTATGTCTTGGTCTCACACCATACAGTGTTTCCGAGGCAAACCACGCTACATATGTTTCTGATCTTCGAAAAAGATTAACGTACGCATATAGCAAGGCGTCAGCTAACGCAAAGAAAGCGGCGGCCAAATCTAAGGAACACTTTGACCAATCTGCAAGAGAAAGTACCCTTGAGGATGGGGATCGTGTTTTAGTGAAGAAAGTGGCCTTTCATGGGAAACACAAATTAGCAGACAGATGGGAGCAGCAGATTCATGTGGTGATAAGGAAGATTTCAAACGAAATTCCAGTTTATGAATTGCGACCGGAGAACGGAGGAAAATGTCGCATACTTCATCGAAACATGCTTCTTCCCTGTAACCATCTACCCATTAAATCAGAACCAGAACCAAAACAACCACACTTAAAGCCTCACCAAACTGCAGAAACGCGTCAGCTACGAAGGTCTAAAAGAAACAAAGAAACGCACACCCAACCAAATAGTGACGAGAGTGATAGTGATGAAATACATACTGCCACAACGTATCAACTGAGCGACAGCACCGGCATTTATACCGACTCCTAGCTCGCAACCTATCACACAAGCCGTCCAGCCTTCATAGCACCATAGCAGCTATGTATATTGAATTATTGTTACCTAACCTAAGTATAGTATTGCCTTATAATTTCAGAACATGTTGGGGGAAACATTTTGAAAGCGGGGGAGGGTGTAATAGTCTTAAAGTTGTTATATACCGCCCTCTTTCTTCCCCACCCCTCATCTGACACTTCCTGTCCAATCACCAGTAGCAACACTGTCATTCTATCACATGTTGTTGCCGAGTCATAATCTTCATTATCATCTGAGAAAACTAATCAATAGTTTTCCCTTTAAATCCATTTATACAGGTATGTCATAATCCTTTATCCAATGTTTTACATCTTAAGACACCATTTGTCATATTTTTATGTTTTAACTTGTATTAATCATGCTTTATTTTAAAGAAATAATAGTTTATTTTTCATTGAATAGCCCAGTGCTTTGTTTTAAGTGCCAGCAGGCCAAGATTTATTGTAGATGATTAGTTTACCATGCAAGGTCACAATGACCCTGTTCATGGGTGCTGTCTCTGGAATGCTGGACTATAGCTAGAGTACAGTAACCACAGATTTTATATTTAGATTTAACCTTACCTCCATGATTTAACTTAGTCCAGTTAATCATGATTTCTTTATGGTCGTTTAATGTATTTTAACATGAATAATGACAATATAATGGCAATAATGTTACTGTCATGTGAATATATAATCGGTGCTTCACAGTTATGTTTTATGGTTTTATACTGATATGATTAGGAGTAAATATGAAGTTTATATTTCTTTTGATACTAAACTGTTAACTTGTTTAATTGTATTCACATACAATTAAAAACCATGGAATTAGTTAATTGTAGGCTAGATAATTGAAAGCCGATCACGAGTGAGTGCATCTTCAGCTAGCGGACGTCAGGCCCGTATGCAGGGGGGTGCGTTGGGTGCGTACGCAGCTCCCCCCCCCCCAAATCGAAAAACGTCCACTAGTTATAACCAAATGGTTTACGCCAAGGATGCCCTCTATCGCCGTACTTATTCATACTTTGTGCGGAGTTCCTTGGTAACGCAGTTCGTCAAACAGACGAAGTAGAAGGCATATCCTATAATAACATACAAATCAAATTAAGTCAATAGGCTGACGACACCGGTCTTTATATTAAAGATTCAAGCTCAATAAAACCCATCATGGACATTCTAGATTTGTTTGCTTTAGCCTCTGGTCTAAAGATAAATTACGAAAAAAGTAAAATAATGAGATTGGGTTCATTGAGTGATTCTGATTTCAAAATTCCTATCGGAAAAACATAATATGGACAAATGAGGAAATACGATATTTTAATGTTTCGAGTAATTTAGGTAATATATTCAATTTAAATTTTCAACAAAAATATAAGGATATCGATAGAATATTAAATAATATGTGGAGGCAGAGATCCCTATCCCTATTTGGAAAAATCACGATCATTAAAACATTGGTTCTGCCTATCTTAAACATTTCATTTTTCAAATTTACCCGGCCCACCGAATTACTTCTTTAATGATATACAAGTAAAATTTTGTATGGAATGGAAAACCCGATAAAATAAAAAGAAAAATTATGTTCAATGAATTAGAAGCAGGAGGGTTGAAAATGCCACATGTCCAAAGTTACTGTCAGGCTCTAAAAGCATGTTGGGTAAAAAGATATCTTGGAAAGAACGGCGACAAATGGAAAATATTTTTTTCAAAGCGACCTTGATAAAGTAGGAAACAACTTCATATTTGATTGTAACTTTTCAAAATCGTCCGCAATGCTTAAACATTTCAAGGGTTTCAATAAAGATGTTCTATTAGCTTGGAGCGAGTGTTTTTTAAAGAACCGAAATCTGTTAGAGAAATACTATCACAGTCTCTATGAAACAATTCCTGCTTTGAAAACGTAGAATTCACTATAAATAAAATTTGGTGGGACAACAATATCAAATATATTAAGGACATTGTGACCAATAGTAATCGAATTTGTAATTTGAAAGAATTTGAAGAAAGACATATTTCAAACCGAATTTCCTTTTTTACCATCAAATTGTAAACTCGATTCCAAGGCACTGGAAGCAAATAATAATTGAGAATACAGATATAAATCCATCAAATGTAATAATTGAAAATCCAAATATCAATAGTGTGCTGAAAATGAAAAGAAATTGTAAATACCTCTATTCTCAGTTAATTCAAAAACACACTGCAGTGCAGGATGGAATCGAGTCCAGGTGGGAAAAAGAACTGGACAATACTAAACTACAATGGGATATGACCTTCACAACGCTACATAAATGTACAATTGATACAAAACTTTAAAATTTTCAGTTTCGATTTATTCATCGTATTATTTATACGAATTCCTTTATACATAAGATATATATTGTTGAATCACCAAATTGTGAATTTTGCTTAGAAGAACAAACTTTATTACACATGTTTTTTGAATGCAAAGTAATTAATGTGCTGTGGAAACAAGTACAAATAGTTATAAAACAAAGGTTTGAAAGAAATTTAACTTTAAATAAAGAAAGCATGTTTTGGCACTGACAACCATAAAAATAATCATGCAATTAATAAACTAATATTTATTACAGAACTATACATTTATAACTGTAAAGTTAATGGACAAAAACCGCACATAAATCCCTTAAAATCAGTATATGAGAAGCATAAACAAATTGAACAATACATTGCATTCAAAAATAGTTAGCATTGCAGAATAATGTAGATAGGCCTATATGCTGACATTTTCTTTTATGTTATGCATTTTGTAGAATTATGAATCATCAATCATTTTGTTTCTTGAATAGCCATTTTTGTATGGTAACTATCCATAGTTGCTTACTTTTTCTTTGGTTTTTTTTTTTTTATAGTAATGTAACCTTGTTATGTAATTTGTTTTGTTTTATGAAATATACCAGAAATAATAAAATATAAAAAAAAAAATGGGGCGAAAGGAGCAGGAAATTAAAAAGTGAAAAGCTGTTGCAAAATCTTGCTGAATTTTTATTCGTAATGGTTACGAATTTATACAGTAGTATTTTTCATTTGGGAAACAATTTTTTGATAGGCCCTATCGCTGTGTTCGCGGACATAGAGATTAACATGATAAAATTCCCAGCCTGGTTGCTCGCTGCGCTCGCAAAACGCACCCCCCCCCCCAATTCAAAAAGCTGGATACGGGCCTGCGGACGTACAGTACCGGCGCGCTGGGAGATGGCCAAGTTTTACCCTCCAGAAAAATTCGACTTCAGCAAGCCTAATGAATGGCTGCAATGGAAAGGGAGTTTTGGACGGTTTCGGCTAGCGACGAAACTACATAAGGAGGATAACGATACCCAAATATCGTCATTAATCTATGCCATGGGGCAAGAAGCAGATAAGATTTACCGATCTTTCGCTATTCTAGATGATCAAAGCCCAACGTTTGACGCTGTTTTAAAGAA